GCAAGATATAACACATTTAGTATCATGACCTTGGAAAGGACTTCCAATGTTTGGTGATTTATCTAGAGATTGGAACAACTCCTAATAATGTTTCAAATATTTTATTCAAAAGAAGTTATGAAGGCGTCAACAACGATTAAATAACTGGGTGGTCTTCTTGCCTTGGTATGAGACAGTATTGATGGTTGAGAAGCCCTATCAATCATCTTTAAAGAGAACAAAGATCAGAGTATGTGGCAAATATAATTCGTTACATCACAGATTTCCTTAACATATGATGATTGCTCCTCGTAGAACTCGTCCCTAGAAAGGGGGGTAATGTCATGGACATACACATATAAGCCAATAATTACATGTATAAATAGATAGAAGTAAGTAAAAGTAGGTATAAATAAATTAATTCTATAATATTTACTATGGAAATTTTCTAAAAGCTTCATAGATGGTGCTTTGACTTTATAGGTATCTTTAATTGACTTTTTGGATTAGAAACGTGGTCAACAAATTGGCCATATACCACACATGTTGTTAGCTTGAAGACCAAGTTAACTATATGGCCCACACATAGAAAAACTTGCCTTATAAGTCAACGCATGTGTCCTACAAAGTCAACACATATTGGAGGTCCTACAAAATATCACCATATAGCCCCTAGTTAGATAGTATATATAGAGACAAGAGTGAAGCCCTCTCCTCTCTTGTCAACTTCTTTCTTGCTTCTAGTCTAGTTTCAAGGGTCTCTAAATTTCTTGTCTTTTGGCAATAGCCATTTCAGTTTCTTTCTTAATATATATATTGAGTTATGTCTATTTTTTCATCTTTCTTTAAGAGAAGTCTCACTTGTTTATTTTTTTTTATCAAGTGCTTATCCTTGATACGTCATGATTTTCCAATAGCATGATATTTTGGATATAACAAGACTTTAAAATTAATTTGAAGAGATTTTTGGTAGCTTCAAATGTGGAAGGCAATCAAAGGCTTTGTGTAATCATATAATATTTGTTTAACATCAAAAACTCTTTGTTATTGACTTTATAGACTTTTACAACCACTACCTACATGTAAATAATCATTGTCTTTTGTTCCTATAGATTTTATCATAGATCTTCTAATTTCAAGTTCATATAATTTTATATTTGTGATAGTAGATCATTTTATTAAGGTAATATATTTTGTACTATGCATAAAATCTATCAATAGTGATGATACAACTGAATTATTTTTTGACAATACCTATTATTATCATGAATTACTAAGAAATATTACATCCAATAGAAGAACCTAATTTGTATCAAGATTGTACTTCTCTAATGAAACCTTTGCTCTTGACATCTTTTAAAGAACTAATTATTGCATATAATGTCTTGAGTAATAAATTACTACAATAAATTTGCTCTCAACTTTGTCAATAATAAATCTTTGACATTGTCTTTCAATTCATATAAAATTAATTGATAAGGGCTTTGTCATTCTAATCCACATTGCAAGTAAGGATTTGGAATTTTACAACATATATAGTAGCTAAAAGTGATCCTTATCATAAAGACAGGAGTTTGATTTCTATTACCTTTTTCAATCACTTTTTCCAAATGTGGTAGTAAAAACTTTTAAAAATGAATTTAGATTATAAAATATTTGTGAATTCTTTTCTATCAAAAAGATAAACTAAAAGAGAGCACTTCCAAATAAAAGTGTACATATGAATCCAACTTGATTGAATCTATTAGGATATTAAAAAAGATGTAATCTTAGAAAGAGCTTCACTTGTTGTAAAAATCCTCAAAATTTTGTTCTTAATTTTTTAAACTTTTTTGGTATAATTATTCTTATTTCTTTCATATTTATAAAAAAAAATCTTTTTGTCTTCAATTATGAACTTGATCTACTTGCTTTACTCAATTGTACAACTTCTTAGTATAAAATCTTAACCTTATTATTGACTTCTTCTATAGATATAAAAATACGTGAGATTTCAATCTTAAGAGTATTAATAAGCTTATAAAGAACTACAATAGTTGTAAATTTATTTTCACTTTTGACATGAATAACATCCATAATTTTTTTTTCTATAGATGATTCAAATAAACTCATAAATCAAATTAGAGGAGGATAATATATAACCTCTAATATCAAATAAAAAATTCTATAAAGAAGGGTAGTTCATTCTTTTTAATGAAAACAATCAATGTATAGAAAAGTAGAAGTTAGTTTAAAAGTGGATAGTCTATAACTTTTAAAATAAAATAGTAGAAGCAGGATAATTCACTCACTTTTAAACTAAAATTAAATAAACAATTTACCACTCTTGTCAAACTATCAAGGACATAAATTTCAAAGAACTAAAATTCTTGAGTCATTCAAATAAACTAAAAAATTACTCAAAGCTGGTATTGTATTAAACTAGAATGGTTAATTCTAAAGATACAAAGAGTAAAAAGTTTTGAAATAAGACAAAGGACTAGAAAAGCATTGACAATAATAAAGAAGGTTTTATTCTTCCCTCCATATATACTATCTAACTAAAAGCTACATAGTGATGTTCTATAAGACCTCTAATATGTGTCTAATTTGCAAGATACATGATTTAACTTACAAGATAAGTTTTTTATATGTGTGCTATATCATTAGCTTGTACCATAAGCTATTACACACATACTACATATGGCTAACTTATTTGCCAAGTTTCTAACATGTCAATTAATTATAAACATGTATAAAGTCAAATATGCATCTATAAAACTTCTAAAAACTTTTATTATAAGATAATATTAAATCTATATACATTTATCTTCTACCTATTATTTCTTATTTAAGTAAATATGTACGTCTATGATAGTAGCTAAAGAAATACAACTCTCAAATCGATTGGAAGCAATGCCTCATACATTAGGCATAGGATCATAACAGAGGTATTTGCAGTGTAAGTCTTATTTCTTGTCTTCATCCTCCAATATATTGATCAATTACCTCGGTGACTCATGACATCATCAAAATGTGATAGATTTTGAAATTATTTTGTATTTTATTTTTTACCATTATTAGAAGTCAATCTCAAGTAATTTTGGCAATACATTCATGAATTCTATTGGGTGATATTGTAGAAGCAAGGATGGAGGTTGAAAAAAGGGCGAGGATTGAAACAAGGAACAATAGCTAAGAATAGGAGGAATTGGAAAACGAGGAGAATACAAGAATGCAGAGGAGGATGGAATTGTAATAATAGTTGAGAAATGTGATTTGATTTAATAAAAGCTTAAATTATATATATATATATATATATATATATATATATATAAAATAAAAGGCTTAGTATAGTTTTTAAAGTGTTAATATTATCTAGAATTTATATATGTTTTTACTATATATTCATTTTTTTCATCTTAATATGATTCATAAGTTTTTAAAAATAATCTAAAATAAAAATTTATACAATTCTTACAATGTCATTACTGATGACTCACTTTAATTTATTAATTTTATATGTTTCACATCAAAATAGTCTAATTTTTGTAATTATATTAATATTAAGCATCAAATAGGTAATTATGTTAACATTAAATTACAATCTTTTTTTATTTTTTATTTTTTTTGAAACAAGACTTGCTCCTGAAGCTTCTCATGGGAAGGTTCTAGAAAGTAATAAAAATGTTCTACAAGAACCTAGGAGGTGGAAAGTTCGGGAGTTGTCTCATTGATAAAGAACTAAGAACCTTATGTTTTATGTCATGTGCAAATATATATATATATATATATATATATATAGAAGAAGTAAAATATGTATATATATATATATATATATTACATGATAGGCAATGGAAACAAGTGTTATAGTTTTTCTTACTGTTTGATTCAAAAACCCAATTTCTTATCCAAATCTCGATTTCCATACCCAGCAACTCCATCGAAAAATTCACGGAAGTATAGTTCTCTCTGGGAAAGGAACCTATTCTCATCCATCTACCATCCACCACATACATAACACACATTCATCCACCCGTCCACTCATTCATCGATCAATATTATTCATCCACATATCCATACATCCAATCTTGAGGGAAGGTACGTGGAGGAAGTAAACCGCGGAGAGGAACGAAAACAGGGTTGACGGAGGTTCTACACCAACGAAGCGGCGAGATCAGAACCAGGTAGTGACGTGGCTCTGCTGGTTGGTAGGAAGCTCCTTAGTGAGGTCGCAAATTTGGGGGAGGGGTACCAGGGACGGCAGCGGTGGAGGGTGGAGGACTGTCTGTACAAAGCGTGTGTGTGCCTGCCTTTCCTTTTACTT